CCGACCACGCCCACTTGCTTTTTCGCGGAATTTTGATATTTTTTCAAAATTTTTGCATTTTAGGGCTGCTGCGTGAAGCCCCGCCCACTGTGAGAGGCTCCGCCCACTTTGAAGAAGCCCCGCCCACTTTTCAAAAATGGTGCAATCGGCAGTATAGGTCTTGGCTTGCATGCTAGGGTCTCCGAACAAGAAAATCAGGCAAAGTTTGTTCCGAATGATCAGCAATACCCTAGCATGCCAGATCAAAATATCAAAATTCCGCGAAAAGCAAGTGGGCGTGGTCAAGGGGGCGGAGCCTAGATTGCCAAACCCTTTAGAGAATGGGCGGAGTCGGCCATGTGTCAATGCCCAGTCGTTTTCAGTCAAAGTGTTTGTGGGAAACAGCAAAAGATAAGAAAAGTCACATAAGCAGAAGTTATGAAACAAGATTTGAAAATCTATGTCCGCGCTGACAAGTAGGCGTGGCCGTCGGGGCGGGGCTCGCAGTGGTGTCTGGCGTGATCTGGTTGATGAGTTGCCCGCCCTAATAAGTGTGGTTAATTTGATGAAAAGTGAGGGTGAATTTGGTTTGAAAAGGGGTGAATTTGGTTTGAAAAGGGTGAATTCAAAGTGAAAATGGTATATATTGACGTGTATATCAGTCCTCCGCAAGCTGTTTAAGTCTTGTGGTTAGTGCATGCAGCAAGCCACTACGAATCACAATGGAAGCAGAATGCGTGCCGCATCCCAAACGGGGTTCGGTCAGAGGCGTTAGCTATCCTTCCAGACAAATCTTCTACCAACTGGAAGCAATAAAGGCTGCCTGAGGAACGGTTAGACCCGAGATCAGATTACGGATCCGCGCCTCTACCAGGGCACGCCATCTTTGTGATCATCACAACAGGGGGGTCGTATTTGCCCGCGATGGAGGGGGGGGGTCGTAAACGCATGGCCCATGTTGAAGTGGAGAGAGCGGTGATACACGGTACAAGTGAAAAGAAGCTCAAAAGGGACGATGTAGATGACAATAAATAGAACTAGGCACTATCGAACTATTCCTAGGCCAAAAACTAAATATTGCTGAAACTTTTTCCTCCTTCCTCACAAAAAACTTCAAGACACTTCGCCCACCAACCCTCCTCATCTGGTCTAGATAAATCCCAATCCACTAATCCGCAAAATCTAGAAAAGAATCCATTGCAAAAGCTACCTATGAAGGTGCTAACGTATTTGGGGGGACCACGCGGCGCGCGGCGAGTGATGACTCATCGGCTCTTCACTCATCGGCATACTTGAAGCGCGATTCTAGCAGTCAAATTAGAATAAAACAAACAAGGTTCACCGGGAACTTGCTGAGAAATCCCACGGAAGCCGAAAAACAAATGTTTGATCCTTTTGTAGTCAACAATAAGTCAACAACAAACAGGCAACAAAATTTTGTAGTTGATTCAAAAATCTTCCAGCCCACAACTGTTTCTTCGGACTTTTTAGCGTTACTGTATTAATATAGCTAGGTCGGTGTTATATCCATGTCCTAAACACAAAATTACTTCTATTTTGCCGAGGAGGGAGCAGAAGAGCAGATGAGTCATCGCACGCCGCGAGCCGCGTGGTCCCCCAAATACGTTAGCACCCCTATGAAACCGTAGAAATTGAATCCTGAGCAATTTCAAAACAAAATCAAACTCAACAAAAACAAACAATCAGTAATTCACAATAAAATGGATAAGAAAAAACTCACCGCTCAGCTGGGAACCGGAACTATGGATTACTTTTGAATTTTGGCTGTTCGCGGTCAGCGCGCTCATACAAGCGCATTGGTGCGCGCTATTTTACGGTTTGGAGCCAATTTCAAGCCAAACACGTGAAAAGTACCCCTCATTTGAACACCCATAACTTCGTTGAAAGTGAAGCTATCGGAGAGGGGTAAGTGGGAATGAGTAGAGCTAGGTTGGCTCTTGTCACCTGAATTGAGCGATTTCAAAAACGTTCCGATTCCAGAGATTTTCCCCGTTGTGATCATCGTTGTGATCCGTCTGTGATCATTTTTGCGAACCGCGAGTCGCTACGCTTTGGACGTCCATGGCAAGCTTCATACACGGCCTTTCGTAAAAAAAAGAACTGTGCCGGAAGCTTGAAGATTTCTACTTTCCAGCAAGGTTTTAATTTCCTTCCTAGACCTACTATTCGAAAAAATTCCCCGTTGTGATCATTTTGTAATCACCCCCCACGACACCGAAAAATCAACCCCTCCGAGGCCAGGAAACCTCCAGTTGGCTCGAAGACTTTGGTATGCTTCTGAAACACATGTTTTCGTCAAGCATATCAGGTAATAGGCCATTGGGCGCCAATTGGCATCACATATGCAATGCGCCATGCATGGGGCTTTCACGCAGGTGTTTGAAAGGTGTAACTTCTAGATAGGGCTTCCCAATTGCAAGCAAATGTGCTCCTACGATCAGAAAAGTCCGGGAATGTACTTTCCTCTGTTTATTCATCGTCAGTCGTAAGTCCTTTCCCATTTATAAATTCATGGTGCCCTTGTGGGCGGTGATCGTAGCTCCTATCATCGCCCCTTCCTCGTACGTATTGTCAGTATGCTACACCAGCGCCAGAGTGCTGGACGTGCTTGGGACGTACGTAGGTACTGCGACCCCCCCCCCGCTCGACAGCAAAATTTTGTAAAAAAACCAGAAACTTTTTGGGAAAAAATAGACAAAGTGGTAGGAGGTTGGAAAAATCTAGGGAAGAGTGGGGAGGGGGGTCGTACTTGAAGATGGAATTAGGGGGGGTCGTATTTTTCAGGAAATGATCACAACGCAATGGCGTGCCCTGGCCTCTACGTCACCTTCACCCATGGAAGTCATACTATGCATAATGAATACAACGCTACCAAGACCATGCCTCTTTTCTAATTCCAAGGAATGCGTCCGCTTGCAAGGGCTAACATTAGCAACGTCTCACTTTTGAAGCACCTATTCGTCGTTGCCGAAGGCCATGCCTCATAAAGAGATAGGACCAATCGACGTCGAAAAAACCGTTCCCCAGCTCTGGCTAACGAGAAACTGCCTTCTAAAAAAACTTTTAGAATGAATTTGCTGGCAAGATGAAGTCCTAGAGGGGTTTAAGTAACTTGAAACTTTCATCAAAACTTCGCTCAAAATATGTTCTGAGCTGAGAGGATTAAGGAACGAAAATCTTCTCTTCGAGCGTGCTCATTGTTCTGGGAAAGGTCACATATAGAGAAATTCATGGTCGTTGAAGGCATGAAAAACGTGACTTCAAAATCCCCATCAGAGCACAATCGGGGATTTTTTTTGATATAGAAACCATGAAAACAATCTCAATACACTTTAAAAAGTACAAACACTCAAAAATTTCTTTGCTTTTTCCTAAGTGATCTGCTTGAAGAAACGACTGTTTAGAGGAGGGGGCGGGGTTGTTCGCAAGTTTCTGACGGTTTCGCAGGTAGTCTGCTCTTCTGCTGAGGAAGCAGTGCAGGCAAAACAACCACGAGAGAATCAGTAGTAGTAATAGAGCTCGGAATTTATAATACACTCTGCTGAAACAGGGGTCGTGTTGAGTTTAAGGGATGTTTGGTAGCGAAATATCTCAAACAAACACATTCCTAGTTTTATTGCTGAGAATATCACAAGGTATCACAGCTCAAAATTGAAATTAGACATTCCGAGCATAGAACGTAGAGAAACTCTAATATTATATATCATATTATATTTATCCCTCGAATCATATTTTACACATCACCTTCTACGTTAGCAAGGTTGTCAATCAAAGTCTCATAGATCTCAACACCTCGTAGGAATACTGCCTCGTTGAGATACTCGTTGTGGTCATGAAGGAGCGACGGTGTGTTGACCATGGGTGAGAAGCCAATTGATCGATACCCAAGCTGAAATAAGTTTGATTACCGGGAACGGTTTGGTTAAAGTTAGGTTCAGAAAACATAAATGTGTTCCCATATTTTCATGAAAAGAACAACGTCTTAAAGCTCCGTCCGCGAGCCAAACTGCGTTACTGTCATCAAATCATCGCCATTTCCCTCACATAGTGTGTATGCCTGTACCGAAGAAAGTCAAAGGTAGACTTCGCGATGAACCACCGAACACTTAGTGGGGGCGGGGTTGGAAAACTATACAGGCGCTGTCTCATACTCGACTGTCCGTGAAGAAAAAAGGAGAAGATACAATCGGAAACGCTTCAAATAAGGCCCTACTTTATCAAGCGAGAAATAAAAAAGTCGACGTGAATGTCGGGTGAGAGGCGAAAAAAAAAGCCGCGAGAGAGCATGCAAAGAAGCAAGACAGCCGATAATCCATCTTTCAACGTGGGCGCAGTCACTTAACTAACCTTGTGTTTTACCTTCTCTACCTTACCACTTTCGGACGTGAAACTTACACAGAATTGTTCGCTGCAGTCCACTCTGTCTCCCCTGGGAAGAAGCTGGATAACTAAAACTGATCGTGGGCCTTTTTCTGAAAATATTTTTCTGTTCTGGATCGGGACAGGCATTCGGATGGAGCTGCACGAGTGATAGACGGCCTACGAGAGGAAATACCTATCAGTTCGTTTGGCTTCTACTCATATCACGTCATATCATACCCTGGAGAAACCTTCTGCATGGAAACACTCGAATTAAGCTGACGGTGACAGAGTCCCACATTCAGGAAGGTGCTGTTCCAAAGGACACAATCCAGTGTGGTAAAATAATCGACATTCAAGGAATGGGAGAACACGCACCTTAATTAATGTTTCTCTAAAATAATCACAAGCCCGAAATGGATAAACTGCGCACAAAGAGATTGGCGGAAACACAAAAAAACAGCATAAACGAAATCAGTGATATAAAATGCAACAAACTTCTGAAAGACCCACCTCTCGTACAAATCGAGAATCGGTGGCACCGGTGAAAATTTCCTTGTCAAACTTGCAGTTCCTAAAGCGATAGAAATCAGAATGCTTTTGAATGAGGATACCGCTGAAGTTCCACTCATATCAAATCGACCTTATTCTTTCTCAAGTAAATCGTATTCATAAAAAAGCTTCGGAATTGATTATTTTTTCTTTCTCGGAAATGGAACATCAGCGTACGCTGCTAACAAAAGTGCTAGCTATAGCATCGAAGGGGTCTGTCACTGCGAGGCTATCTCTCAAGGGACTCGAGAATTCATATTATCGCTGCTCTTTAAAGGAATGGCTTATATAGTGAATTCCGAACAAACATCGCTTTGCGCATGAGGACGAAATAAAATGATCCGGAGAGCGCCCCAATAAGGTCAATCAGGCCGTAGATTCCGATCCAGACTATTTCTCCTAAGATCCTCTATATATCTGTCAAGGGTCGAATTTGGAATGAACCTCTCTTGCGTGAAAGTAAATAGCACTATAGGGAAGGTAAAATGGAGTAAAAGAAGATACTTACTCCTGCTGAAGCGACTTCTCAAACGCTGACCAAAACGGATCATCAAGTGTCGTCGGCGTTACAGCAGGGATTTCGGTTTTCTGAAATGAGCGCAATGAATTTAATGAATAATATCTATTCACTTCAACAAGAAAACCCGGTGTTCTCTGCTCCATTACTATTAAAGTCATCGTTCATCACAAGGTCTGAACGGGGAGTCTTTATAAGATGTAAAATGGAAATACTGCATATTATAAACAGAAAGGTAAGAATTCTAGTAAACAAAGCTGGGTAATTGTTTTGCACACAGAATATAACTCCAAATAAGTCTTATGTGAATGGAAAGAAAGTTTCTTTCATAAAGCGCGAGGGCTTCACTCAGGCTCTGCTCTTCGACCCTCCCTGCTAATCAAAAAGATATTGGTGGACTGAAATACGCTCACGGACAAGCTTTTGGACATGTCAGAAGAAATCAATGAGATTGAAGAGGCAGCGAAGTTCACTGCAGAAAGACTTCGAAGGCTCGAAGAAAACCCAGAACTTACTGCGAATTTTATTTTTAGCCTGAAGAAATTGACGTAAAGTAAATATGTAGAATAGAAAAACGCTCGGTATCTTTTCAAAGTTTGAAGCCTTTGTAATACATTCTCTTGCTTCTTCGTGTCTTTTGACAACACTTAAAGGAACGATCAACATTCATTGATGCGCAGACGCCTTCCTTAGACATAGTTGTCCTGCCTGCAAGCGTCGAGGATGTGCCCGCAGCTCAAAAATGGCTGAGTGAAGCGCCGCTCTCGCACAGTACGGTAACGCCAGTAGACGAACAAGCAAACACCGTACCCCTAAAGGAGCCGTAAATAAATCTGGGTGCACACCAAACACAGCATCTCACGACAACAGCGTTGAAATTGCCTGGATAACGCACGTATGTGTAATGGTTGCTATTACCTGGAGCATTCTTGAAACTTTCGGGCGAGAAGAATAGTATAGTCATCGATATGGCGTTCTGAGCGCCACTGACAACTACACTATACTTTTCGCTCAACAACGCTAGCATTCCGCTGAGAAGATTCAGAACGCTAGCAGCTAACTTTACTTTCGCCCAAAACGCTCGAAACGCTCAAACGCAGACGAGAATTATGAACGCAGCTCACCGCAACCCAGTTCAAGTAGTTTTGTCTTCATTCTCGATCAAATAAGAATCTGTTTAGGTTTCAAAGACAACACGACTGCATCGGAATGGGAAACTTTTCGCCTTCCAGATTAATGTACGAATTAATGTACGATTGTTGTTGCACTCTGCACAACTTTTCTCCTCATTTCAGCACCACTCCTAGAATGCCTAGAGTAGTTTAGATTTCAACTGCGAGCTTATACTTGAAGCTGTGAATAGGGCTGGCTACGGATCTCGTACTGTATTTTGTTCGAAAAAACTATGTATCTCATCATCGCATCGCACCAAACCAGCTGGAAGCATGCAGGCAGGAGTAACCACACGACAACGAAAGCAGGCTATCACTGTCATCAGAACCATATACAATGTGGGTAATTGAAACCGAAAAGTCGAAAATGGAATGGAGCAGGGCACTCATCACGGAATGACTCAGAGTCCTGCGAAGGAGAAAACATGCAAAACTATCTTGTTCTACCAATTCGAGCGATTTCCGGGGAAGTCTCGTGACATTTTCATCTGGAAAATGCTTCAACAAGATGCCTCAGTAATGTGTAAAGACTCCACTGCAATGTAATGAGAAATTCTGACCCAAACGCGAACTATTTTTGATAAGCCCGATTATACAAGTGCATTTATAAAAATGAAAATTCTGGAGCATCCAACGGGCATATAAATATTATGATTACTACTCCATGCAATCGTTCTATTTGGATCTCCTTCACATCGCAACATGTGCCTTACCCCCGACAATTCGGGCGCAGTTGTCGTGAGAGCTGTGTTTGGTGTACACCCAGATTTTTTCACGGCTCCTTCGGGGATACGATCTTTGCTTGTTCGCCTACTGAAGTTACCGTACTGTTTCGCTCGCGACGAAAACACGGCCCACGGCGACGCTCAGGTTTTCACTAAAGCTGTGTGGTAATGTCGTGTAGTCGTGTGATGTCGTTCCGCTACCAACACTCCCTTTTGAATGGGTATAAAGAGGAAAAGCTGGCACCTGCAAATGAGAACTCGTGCGAACATGCCCTTTCTTCGGCTTGTGCACGTACAGGGAGGTTCAGCGCGGGGTTCTATTCAACACTGAGAATTTCGGGCGGGTTTTTGGTTTTCTTCTCCACTTTCTTTTATTTACTATTCTGCCCTTAGTAGTTGAGCTGCACACTTTTTAAAAGAGGGGCATGGCTTCGAAGGAACGGCCACTGCTTGTTTATCCCATGACTAACAAACCCACCAAAATGAACTCATAGGTAACGTCAGGTCCAGCGTTTGTGCACCAAGTTGCTATACGTTTCTCCATCTCTTCAAAATCGGCCATTGGGGGTATGCGTATGTCCAGCACTAAACTAAGAATATAGTACATCACCTGTGCACAGCACCGTCTCTCATTTTCATCAGTTCGTTTCCTTCCCTCTCTTCTTCATTAGTACAAGTTTTTTTTCTCAGAAACAAGCATTACTCTAACACATACTACAGCAACCTGGGCAACATGCATCCATATAGTCAAGACTCACAGAAAACTTACGCAAGGTGAAGCTCTCCGGCAGCACATTCACTTGTACACCACCTTCGACTTTCGTGAGATTCAGAGTAATGACGTCACCCAGTCGTTTTGTGGAGTCGTTTTTCAACAGAGAGCGTTGCTCCTCTCGGAACGACAAAGCGCTGTTGATGAAGGATTGCTAAACTACAACATGGAAAAGAATGTAACGATTCTGAGTAAGTTCCATGAATATCATACCAGCTTTTCGGCCGCCGTGTTCTCTATAAACTTTGAGCCATGGCCAGGTGATCCGCTACAAGTGATCTTCACCCCTTAAACATACTCGAGCTTTGACCATCTAACAGTGAAAAACCTAGGCTACGCTCACACCATGGATTTCGTTCTGCATAGTAGACTTTGTACACAGATGTCTCGGATGCTAAACCTTCATCAAGCATGAAACCCAAGTTGAGTTGTCGGAATTCTGGCAATTTCACAAACTTCTGCATGCCATCCACCGCTCCTATTTCTTCGTCTGCAGAAATAGCTAAATTATCCGACGGAATTGTAATAACAACTCAGTCGCGGTACCTAGCCGAATACAGTTTATATCATTGCAACCTGTCGGGAGCTTCCACTGGTGGTTGGTTTCTTCCTGAGTTGATCTCCTTCCAATCGCTATGGGTAGAGCGAGGCAGCCGGACACCTCAACCGCGCCGCTCACGCCGCCCACGACGAGTGACAATGTTACAAACTATAATTACGTGTTTGTCCTGAGATGACCTTACCTGGAGCCCAAACAATATGTATGGTTCTTTTCCATTCCTTCTTCCCACGCTGGAAATGTCTTCGAATCGCTTCGAAATACTGTGATCCAACACACTTCATATCTTGTGCTCCTCGGGCGTAGATGTTGCCGTGCTCATCCTTGTGAGCAGAGTACGGATCATACTTCCACTGGTCCTGAAAATTCTATAGGGTTCGTTCATTCATACCAATGCCAAGGAAGTGGTTAGGAACTGCACTGGGCTTTTTTAGCAATGGCTGTAACAATAACCGAAGCTTTGGTGCCTTATGGATAAATTTTACTCGAATCAAAGCCAACCCGTGATTGTTATTGTGGATAGTGGCGTAATCGCAAACATATACCCCTTCAATGACACTTCAAGGGAGAAAAAAAGGAAGGAGAATCATTTTTTGGAGAAGGGAGGACACCCTAGGGACGTGGCAACCTCTCTAACGTGTTGTCCGGAACCCTTTTATAGCAATAAAGCCGTATCCTACCGCCACCAGCTAACTGATCAGCTCTTCCCTTGCTTAAGATTACCGGCGAGAAAAACATAAATGTGGTAAAAACTTAATTCGTAACTCGTAGAAAATAACCTTCGAGTTTCGGTGGGCGGCGAAAACTGTCACTCGTGAGGGCCATAGCGTCTTCGTTAGTTACTGTGAAGCCGCGAAGGAGGATGATCTTGGGAAATAAGGACCAGGCTACTTGCACAAGATAGGACGCCTATGAATTGCTCAAGCGGGAGGACTGCCTTCAAAAAAATAATGCGCCAGCGGCCGCTGCTTCTTTTATTCCCGAATATTAGTCTAGGAATTCATAAATTTCAAACGGAAATCTCGCTTTATCACATAAATTTTATAAATCTTCAAATGTGAAGTAAAAAGAGAGAATGTGACGTGGTTTCACCGAAATCTTGGTGAATATTAAATATCAGAGATGCTACACGACAGCTGAAGCAAGCTGAATTTATGGCTGAAAGTTCGTCCCAGTCCCCTTTTGAAACGCGCACGCATTCAGCTCTGGTCCAGGAAACCATTCGAAAATCAGAAACGCAAGAACATTCGAGTACCTTTCCTATGTGGTAAGATCCCACAGGGATGGAAAGTTTGGTTGGATGAGGCGAGATTGGACCCGGTATGCGACAGGCATGCGATAACGGCGTCACCTTTAATCTTCGCTTGCAGCTTGTGAATAAGGAAAGCTACAATGACGTGAGTAAATCAAAAAGAAAAAGTTAAGTGTTGTTAACCGGTCGCAACATAACGACCGATTAACTTCACCTGATTTGAATAAATATTAATCGCATCGTAATCATGTTCCTTACTTGATTCTGTGGCCATATTACTGAGTTGCTTAAATTTTTAAAAATTCAAACGCGGATGTTCAGTGCCCCTGAAGAAATGAATAAAACCACACCTTAAAAGTTGGCACCACATCGGTGTGTGAGTAGAGAACAATGGACTTCAACTCTGGTTGCGTTCCAGGAATTGTCATGATAACGAACGGCTTACCGGGAACAGTCTGAAAAAGCTTAGATAAAGTGAAGAAGGTCTAGAGGAAGGTAGTTCAAGACTATGGCTGTCGAAAACAAAAAGGTCAAGGTACAAAGAGAAGATGTACAGGATAGAAAATTTTTTTGTTAAAGAAAGCAAGTATTGTCAAGCAAGACAATGTCAGACGCAGTGTCACCTATAGCCCACAGGTTTCAGGACAGCGCGATAGTCTACAAGTACGTCCATACTTCGCAATCCGAGCGACCGGCATTGCCGATCTTCAAGCGCTTATCGCCTGTATCACATGTTCAAGCGAGCGGTTGTCGAAGTATGAACACGCTCGAATCGCACATTCTATCGAATCAAAAGGAGCTTTATAATCAGTGATCAGAAGAAAAATAAGAAGAATGCACTTTGTCTAAGGTGAGCCTTCCTTTTGAATCTAACTCTTATCGCCCCAGCATGAACAGATTACAGCATGAGTATCAAACCAGTTAACAAGGAAAAGTGCAGTGCTACTCTGTAAAAAAGACTTAAAAATGACGCCAAGAATCGTAATATGAAAACGTCTGTATTATAGAACTATCAAGTAAATGAAATACTACAAAAAAAACGTTAGTAAAGAATGTGATGAAAGGACGTCCACGAACGTCTACGCCTACCTCAATTGCCTTTCTCGCAATCCCGAGCTCATCAGCTAGATCGAAAAGAAATTTCTGACAGCCGGCTGAAAACAAGAATTTTCGATGTGTTTCTGAAGAATATGCAACTTCTTAGCGGGAGACAAAGCGAGATTCCTTTGAAGAATACGATTTTTTTTAATTTTGATAGAACGCGAGGAGTGCACTCACCATAGTCAGGAGTAGGCTGTTCGGTGTTGATCCGTAAATATTCACGGAATTTCGTGACGGCAATATCTTCGTCTGCCATTGCCGTACCTAAGCAAAGAGTATCTGATAAACAGTAGTGAAGAAATTCATTTGGGAATCTGTCAAAGAGTTGGTCTGCAACTTCGAGAAAAAAAGAAGACAACAGGAACAACGGAAAGGACGACTGTTCATCTGGCTGAGAGGATCATTGTTAACATAAATTTAATGTCTCATTTCCAATAATTACAGTAGAATAGCACTGCAAAACCAAGAATTAAGGACCATCACTTCCAAAAGGGAGTTGTTATACTGTAAACCATTCTTTGTGACATGCACCAAAGGCATTCCAAATCACGACGAACATTCTGCTTCATTTGCAAGGTGTAAAAAAAGAAGTACAATCCAGCTTGGAAACCAGGGTACCGTAACCCAGAGCAGCGCTCAACAAAGTGTATTGACCGCATAGTAGTACAACAGCGTGTTTCACGCTTCTGCCATCATTACGGGGCTCATATGTTTGGTATAAGCATAGAGTTGTGTATTGGGCAATAAGTTGACGTTGTGATCATGTCCATTAAGGAGAATTCGCTTGCAACGCTTCGTTTCCGACTGCTTGCATCGTACTGTAATTCCATGTTGTGAAGTGCAGGATTTACTCTACCTCTCTGACCAATGGTGCAATGGGTTTGAAAAAGGGAAAAAGAAGTTGGCGCTCAGGTCGTTATAGAGTCATAGTTGTATTGGATACGTAAATAGCGTCACGAGTAGCACCACATACCCTTGCAGGTGACGTATTTAATGGGAAGTTTTTGACATATTTTTTAACCAGTTTGGCCAACGCGCGCTGTCGTACACACAACCCTTTGTGGTGTACCATCACCAACACGAGCAGGCTGATTGTGGGATTTTGGTTCTGCCGGCATTGTGACCAAGAGGTCAACGGACGTGGCCTGTTGTCCATTTTCATCACTTGTTGTGATTACCTGTCACCCGTCAACGATGTTCCTATCACTGAATCTTTATAATTTCCTAGTGTGGATACTATACCACCTTCAAGAACGACGACACGGCAGCGTCCCTCATCAGCTCCCTATCAGTTGTTATCACTTCCTGTCACGCACCATCGATGTCTACATCTCATCCTCTACTTCACATGTTAAGCAACGCCTCGCTGATGCTGTGACCCGAGCTGTGATTGCGGTGACTTTCCCCCTCCCAAGACCTCTTTTCAAGTCTTATCAGCTGTGATAACGTTCTTTCACCTACCAATGCACCTACACCTTGGAACTAACGCCCAATTGTTGCTGGGAGACGCGCTATGGACCTGGTGACCCCCACTTGTGAACCCATCTTATTAGATCTCAGCTAACAACACATCCTGTTACTCACCAATAATGTTCGTGTCCCATTCTCTATGTCCTATCTTGAAACCAATGTCTCACGGCTACTGGGACAGGTGCTATAAACCTCGTGACACATACAGACATACTTAACAGATCATATGTACTAGGAGAACAACTTGGCGTTGTGGTATTAGAAGGATGAACCACATTTCCCACCTTTCAAGACGAAGAATCCAAGGCAGTGTTCAGACTTCGCGACTGCAGCCGGCGTACAGCATCGTTGTGTCAAACCCATGGGGGGTCGTACCTGGTAAGGGGGGAGGGTCGTACCTGTAGGGGTCAGTGAGCACCAAGCAACGCTATGATGTTCAGTTGATAAGATCAGTGGAGCTATGAAAGCCGTAATGCTAAAAAAGACGTGAAATATTTTATGAGGGTTTTTTCAGGTTTATCCGTTCATCAGCCTTCTTTCCATGGAAAAGTCGATGGTTCACGAATCTTATTTCTAATCCTGTATTCGGAGCTCAATAGGAGACCTTCCTTTCAGTGAATTCTGACGTCAAGATAGATCATATGTGATTACTAAGATTTGCATTGCTGCTGTATCTTTATTCAGTGATAAAAGATTCATCAGAGATCCTTGTCGTGGAGAACTCCTGAAGAAAAAAATCATTGCTTTCGAAGTTTCGAGCTCCCGTCTCAGTTTGATTATCTTTTGGGCGTCATGTCTATCGTTTAATCGATGCTTGGTCATGTAGTGAATGACATAGAGATCCAGAAGCGCATCTGTGTCTCCTGCAATTGCATGTGCTACTCACCGTTGGAAAGAACATGTATTATTGAGAAATGGTACCTTTCAACATGGCATCTTTCACGTCTTTCATGAAACTATCTGGACAGCATGTGGGGTCGAAGGTCCAGGCCAGGCAGCGAAGTCATCCACTGTCGGACTAGATTCTTCGGCTTAACAGTGAGCAGGCTGGGTCCGTCTCTGTGTACCCTGGAACAGTTGAGTTGTCAAGAGATGATCACGTCGCGGGAAATGATGCAGTACCGCCGAAATGAATAAAAAACCTACCTCATTAAGGCATCCAACATTGGAGTTCCCAGGTTGTTCCGATCGGTTCGTGTGAGTCTGTTTACCGTGGAAAAACTGCGTTCGGGTCCGCATTGCTTGCCGGAATAACAAGCAAGCACTTCAGAGCCTCAAAACGAGACAGTGTCGGCCAGTCATCCAACATACGTACTTCTTTGGCAATAGTATCATAAAACTCTGTAAAAAGTCTTTTTGCATCGGTTAACACGTTAACGACGGTGTCGGACAATGGTGGGCGACAGCAGTCTGTCTCGTGGGACGGTGTCCGACAGCATACTGCTCTAATAATAAAGACGTGCGAGCAACCAAGTTTGTTCAAAAGATGTCTATAGGAGTAGGCTGAAATTCTGAAACGAACAGCACAGTGGTTTGGCCCGGACTGCCCGGCGCCCGCGCCACAGGCGCTGGCGCCAAAATACGTTAGGTCACCAAAATCGCTGAAAACTTGTCTCGTGGGGTAGCTTGACCCCATTTACACGAATATCACAATCGCTTGCCACAAAACTGCCTGGCGCCCGCGCCAAAATGTCCTAGATCATCAAATTTCCTGGAAACTTGTCCCTACCGGTGAACCGACCTCCTAACAAAAATATCATGTCCACTTAACGCGTTGACGAGGATTTCCGTCAATGGTGGACGACAGAAAGTTTGTCTTGTGGAACGGCGTCGCTTTCCCACAGTTATTATATAACTCAAAATCTGCGCGATTGCTTCAAAATCTTCGCGATTGCTTCAA